CCCTCACAAAGCTCAGCATGGCGTCAGAAGGGCGTCTCTGCATTGATAAAAGGCCTTTGACGTCCGTGTATTTGCTGCGGCTGGTTTTATGTAATTACTCCAAAAACTGTCACCACAGGAGGAAAACCAGTGGGGGATGGAGCACCAACTGACTATACTGGAATTTATATAATAATGTCTGTTTAAGCTGGCTATTTTTCTGACTTTTTACTTTGTAATTTCAAGTTTTGAGAATGTGAAATAGTAATATTAAGTCAAAAATATATGGCAAACAAAGTATCAAAGTTAAATAATGTTTTATCTCTGTGCTACCAGGTGTAAAATGTGTTTGTTTTTTCCAAATTTGAAAACCACCTGTAAACAGTTTTGTAATTGCTAATAACAAATTTACTTGAAAATTGGCCAAAACGTAGTTATTGATGCTACTTTTTTGTGGGTTGCCATAGTGGTACAGTGAGAAAAGTCTGAGACAGATGGGGTGGAGTTACACGTTTGTTCCAGAAATTCCCTTTTGTAACATGCTCAAAGTCTTATTTCATTATGTCTCCTTCAAAATTACCACGCAGACATAATGGGTCATGACATAATAATTGTGTCTGCAATGACGCCATAAAGCACAATGCCATCCTGCCAAGTCAGCACACAACATTGTCTTCATCATGCTTTGTTTTCTTTGTGTTTTTTTCCGCTGCTTTGACAGGCCAGGAAAAGGTCAATAATATAATCTCCGGATTTGTCATGTGAGAAAAGTCTGCTGTTTGATTAACCCCCGCTTGAAAGTGACAAGCCCTTTGAGCTGGCCCCTCCCCAGCTGGCACTCCAGGTCTGTCATAGCGGAAACTCTGGGTGAGACTCTTTAGATGGGAAAATGTAGGTTAAATACACAGAGAAGCAGAACTTATTAGCATTTCCCCCATGAGAGCGGTGATTATTTGAGCTGCACTCTTGTTGCATAACCAAAAGAAGAGATGGCGAATAAGAGAAAGTGTTGAATAATCCATGTTTGTTTTAGGAAAGCGCAGAAAGCGTCCATGCCCATCAGTTTTAATGAGGGCTCCTGCGCTATTCAAACTCTTACATGGAATTCAATAGGAACATGATTGTCTTTTCAACATAGCGCATTTATGACAAAAAAAACCCAACTCTACAGGTTTACAAGGGTAGATCAAGAAAAAGAAAAAACGTGGAGGAAATACTTCCCTGTGCAAACCCCTTAAAGCTGCACATTGGGCCGATGAACACATGAATCGATATCATATATTAGTTTCACATTTGAAGTTGAATTACAGACATTAATTAACTTTTCCCCTGTTAATTGAGGCCATCAACATTGAAGATTGAGGACCTAACTTTAAAACCACAACATGTTATGCAATACCATCGATGTAACTAGTCCCTGGCTCTACAGTTAGATTGTATCACTATAGTTTCCACAGGCATATTTTTTGGGTTCTCGTTATGTAAACAATAAAATGTTTTATAATAACACAAAGATACTATGTTGAGATCAGATTTGTTCACAACTAGTTTCTAACAAGACTTTATTTCTGTTGAACAAACAAAGGAATTTCCCCACAAAGTAATATAAGATCCAACTGTATTCCTTATTAATTTTGAGTGTAGTGTTTTGTCAATAAATGGAACGGAGGACCTTTTGCCTTCTGTTCAAACCTACGGGAGCAACCAACAAGCAGCTTGTCCACCTCCGCCCATCACAGCACGTAGCTGACGACAATCTGTACATGTGGCACCCATAGACTGTAAATATTGGCACCGAGACACTGATACTGACTTCATATTACCCCCAATAATAAAGTAAGCGTACTGCTCCACAAAATAGTTTTATTGGTAGAAAATATAACTACTTGCACAAGCACATTGAGACAACAGTGTATCAGGACTTGTGAACTGGTAATTGTCACAAATAATCTCCGGCAAAGCAAAAAAAGTGCTAAAGCATTCACAAAACTAAGCTGCAGTTATCAAAACCCGAGAATCAATATTTCAGTACAGCGAATGCAGCAAGGTTGCAGCAGTTTTTTAGGACCAAATCACATTGCACTCTGGACATTTATTAGCTAATTAAAATCTTGCTTGATGACAAAGCAGCACAGCCACATAAAATGAGAACTCTCTTTCTTCTATGTCACTTTAGCCAGTCAGATCAAATTAGTTTCCTTTTTCAGAGTGCCATTTGTGTCATACTGGTCCAGGAAGCTGGGAATGCTTAGCCATTTACATTATTTATAAGTGAAACTCAGGAAATATTGTTCAAAAGTTTTAGGGTTAGGGTCATTTTATTTCTGTAATTCAACTTACAATGTAAAACCAATACATGCTATAGACTCGTTACATGCAAAGTGACATTTTCCAAGCCTTTGTTATAATGTTGATGATTATGGCTTTCAGTCAATATTTTAAATATTCCAATTTTCTGAGAAGATTTCTTTGGGTTTTTACCAGCTGTGAGACCTAATTATCAAGATTGTAACAAATAAAAGCTTGAAATATCTCACTGTGTGTTTAAAGAGTCTATCAGTTTTATATTGTAAGTAAAATTATATACGTAAAAAGACAAAGACATTGGAACGATAATTCACCTGTATATAAATAACTGTCAAACCAAAAAAGACAAAAGTGCGCTGAGGTCTTCTTATAAAGAAGATATGAACAGGATATTATCAAACCTTGTATATGTCGAGTATAATGTAATTAATTTCAGTTTAGGTACTTGTGTACAGTTTCAGACCTTTTATCAAATGCATGTTAATAACTCGGCAAACACCACACTCACGGCTGGCGTCACTCTTGGGCTTTGTAAAATCTTCACTGTGCTTTGGGAAATGAGGTCTAAAGGAGATTTGCGCTAACCCTCGGAAGCTGCACTGGGCTGTACACAAGCATCTAGTCGACTCGAGACTTAGCCCAGCAGAACAAATCACAAATCCATAAAACATCTCCAAATGTATAATTCATGTACAAAGAACGCAATAGAAAAATAACCCAAAACAAGTCCAGATAGTGATCAAACCTGTCACATTTGGCACATTCTCTTTAAATACATAAAGTGTCAGTATTTGCTGATGACATGGCACATTCTTTACGTTTGTTTATTGCATTGGTTATGGGCGCCTGGGCAGTTATTGTCAGGAGGCCAGTCTTGTTGGAGCGTGAAAGATGGCTGGACAGCGAGGGGTGGAAAACTGGCTCTGGTGTCCGATGCCCGCAGAGACGCCAGTGACCTGCAGGTGGCGATCTGCACCTGGCCATCTGCACGCTGCATGTTTATGAGAGAGACAGAGAGAACACGCGCTTCTATACATCACTGCCAAGGTCTGTCTGGAGCACAAAGACGTTCCCTGGGCTCCTGTTTTTGACTTGTTGGTGCGAGCCGTTCGGTTTAGCCTCTCCTGCATGTAAAGTGACCATGCGTTTCAACCTCCCCCTTTTTCACCCATCACATCTATGTGACATTTGACCCAGGGGGGCCACTGAAGGGCTCAAACAAACGTCATGGATCAAACGTAAAAATGAGGAATGGCGAGTGTGGCAAAAAATGCATGACCCTGAGACTTTTCACAGGTAGGAACTGGTGCGCACTTGGCGGACTTGCTTTGAAATTGAATGGCATACGGAGCATGACTCAATCCTTCTTTAGCCCCCTGCCAGGCAGCTATTCATTCAAGCATGACTCAAGAACCCTCTCCCTCTCGTCACTCTGTTTTTGCGTCTTTACCACTGCACCATTAAACATTTGTTCATCCCCTGCTCGAGCAGCTGGGAGCGACACAACAGCAGAGCATGGCAAATAAGTATTATTCTCTTCTCTGACCACCTAACAAGGATGTCGCTCCACGCCTCTGTGAAATAAAAGGGATTAGGGAAAGTGCAGCAAAGTGGCTCTGATTAAAGCTTATGGAAATACACCCCTTTTAAACAAGTTGAAATCACTAGCTGACAAGCACAAACTGCCAGACAATAAAGATGTTTGAATGACGGATGCTGTTTCCATGGCAGTGTGGAGGAGGATGAAAAGGAGCAGAAAAGCACATTCAGAAAGCAAAGCGTGTCTGAGTGTTTACTGTGAACAGAGCGCACACTTGAGCACGTGTATGAGCGTGGGTATGCATGTCCACACATACTGTGAGAGGACAAAACCATCTACGCACTGCATGTATGTTTTCTTTCTAAGTGTCAACTAAATTGTCTGTCCTCTTAATCGTTTCTCTCCATCTTTCTCATTTCCACCAGCATAGAGCATAGGTATAGTTTGTCTGCAATTGCCTCCTCAGATCCAGCCCACATGTTGTCCTCCTTACAGTCTGCTTTGAACACTTACAGCAGTTTGAACAGCTCTTCAGGCACAGGCATTGTGTGGCTATGACTCGACCAGGCATTCGGCTGTATTAATACACCATCATGCTTTCCAGGCAAAATATCAACGTCATTCTAGTAGCTAACAAATATAATATGACAATTTATATCAATCAGCTCTGCATATCAGTCTACAGTGAAATACAAAAACTATATAATGGCTTGCTATGAAATATGTTTACTATTCATAGGCTATATTTAGTAAATGGAGTATTAACAAACGATTGTAAATAGCAGCTAAATGATTGCTTCTTATTCTACTTCATACCTTTGGTGAGAAAAAATTCTACAGAGTTTTCCTTATTTGCTTAATCCATTCCTTAGGGAACAATTTGAGTGATTTACTGATGAATGTCTGCATCTGGTTAGTGGCGCAGCTCCTAATAGTGTCTCCTTACACATTCACTGTTTGTTCCAACACTGCTTTGGGAATACCTTCTGTGCTTGTGCTTGCAAAACAGAAGAGAGCGGAGCGAGAACATCAAACAGGATAAATGAATGGAGTTGTTGCGCTCCTGCTTGTTCCTCCTCCTCTACCTGGAGAGGAGTCGAGTGTGACGCCTGAGCATCCTGCTCCCCTCCAGCATTTCTCCTTTTAACTGTAACGTGTACACAGAGCTGCTGTCTTACACATAGTCCTGCAGGCTGTATCCCGTCTTATTGTCTAACGGCGAGAGCGAGCAATAGGGATGCTGCATCTCCTGCTGGAGCAGCTGCTGCTGTTGCTGAAACAGGAGTTTGTCTGGGGGAGGGAGAAGGACCATGTCCTGAGGGCCGTGCCTCTTTCCCGAGCAGGACATACAGAAGATAAATCCTCCCATAAACAGAAAGCCTGCTGAAACAAAAGCCACATACACAGCTCCTCCAGGCTCAAACTTATTGCTCTCTGGCACACTGGAGTCCAGGAAGTTGGTGATGACCTCGTTGGTAAACCAGGAAGCGGGCACTAGACACAAAAAACCTGCCGCAACAAAGCATCCTCCACTGGCGATGGCAGCATGTCGTTTAGAGCGGCGGCCTCCTCCCCAGTGTGTGCACTTGAGTCCTAGAGAGGCCAGACAGAGGCCCAGGGCAGCGAGCACACAGCACAGCACCATGGTGGTCCGGGCGGTTTGCAAGTATGCAGGTAATGACAGCACAGAGTACTTCAGAGTACAGCTGAACATTCCTGTGCTGTACCACGTACAGTCCATCCACAGCCCCTGCATCTGAGAGATGGCTGTGATGATGTTGGAGCCCACGTCCGCACTCACTTTCCAATTTGGCAGCACAGTGGCCACCATGGCCCCAAAGATGCCCAACAGAGCCAGGACAAATCCAAAAATCTGCATGCCTGTAGATGCCATGCTCTGTCAGATGCCTCTGCTGCCTCAGCCCCTGTCCTCAGTGGGCAGCATGCACCCAGCTCCAGCCCGGCACGACTCTGTCTGGACACCTTTGTGTTGTATTCCAGAAGAAATTCAAATATACAGTGTTATCCTGAAGCAGAAGAGAGTGTCCTGTTGTGGTGTGGTCCTCCTGCGTCCTCCCCACAGATGCAGACTTGTTTGGCTGAAAACAAAAGAGACAAGAGCGTGAGATAAGAGAGATGGGAGCTCTGCCACAGGGTTAACCCTAAACTAAAGGATGTTGTGCAAGAGCAGACTTTCTATTTACTGTGCTCCTCAAACCTACAGCAGCCACATAGAGCTGATATCGGAGAGGGACAAACGAGTTGGTGGTATTTGGAAAAGCTATGTAGACTTAAAGCTGCAGTGCCCACTCCAATTCTATTCAATAAACAAGCCTTAGGTTGTTCGTCAGTGCTTTTCCATGTTAACACCAAGTTTTACCCGAGTTTCTTGTTAAACTTTGTGGCTAAATGTGAAATATTTCCAGACTCACTCGCTCGTTATCCAAATATTTCGTAGTCAGGTGTCCTTATATCCGAGTGAGTAACGGCGAATCTCCTCCGTCCGTGAGTCCGTTATGTTCCGATCAGGAGAAAAGCGGCAGAAACGAGCCTTCCTGCGGCTGCGGCAGAGCTGGCGCTGCCTCGTCACGTTGTTCGCAGTGATCCCGGTAAACGCACACCGGTCACAAGCCCAGGGCCAGCGGGCTGAGGCTGCGGGGAAGACACGGACCACTGAGCCCGGGGCGCCCAACCCCAGGAGCCGGACATGTCTTTAGCGACAGCAGCGTGAGAGGAAAGGACACCCCGGTACTGGCTCCGGAGAGAGCAGATCAGACCACACCGCCACAGCCACGGAGGAGACACTCTCACTACTGAAGCGGAGAGGGAGAGGAGAGAGAGGAGAGAGGAGAGGAGGAGAGAGGGGGAACAGATGCACGGAACCAATCACAACCACAACAACCCCATCAGCTCCGGCAGCAGCGGACAGCCCTCTCTATTTCTCTCTGTCTTCTCTGTCTCCTCTGTTCTTTTCTGTCTCTGTCCTCTCTGTTTCTCTGTCTTCTCTGTTCTTCTCTGTGTCTGTCTTCTCTGTTCTTTTCTGTGTCTGTCCTCTCTGTTTTCTGTCTTCTCGTCCTCTCAGCACTTTGCTCTGTGACACTCACGCACGTGCGTAACAAAACCAAAGCATGGAGTAACAGTCACTTTTATTCATTCATTTTAACATTGTCGAGCCCGTTTGCTCCAAATAGTTTTTCCCTTAACAACAACAAAGAAAAAGTGATTTTATTATTATTATCATCATTATTATTGTATTTTATTATTTAACCCTTTAATGGCTTCCTGGTTTTGGTGGATCACTTTTTGACCTGAAGCTTGGAACTGAAACAAATATTATTAAAATCATGTCTGTCAGATAATGTATTAAATGATGTTGTTTGTTTATTTTCTTTTGTCATATTCAGAGACTACTTACAGCTTGAGTACCCAAATTTGAAAACACAACTACAAATTAACTATGTAATAAAATCCATGGAACTAGAAACCATTTGGTTCTATCACTTTAAGCAGAAGTTGTTCCTGAATGGTTTGCAGACGGTTACAGGTAAAACTCGAATATTTGAATATTTTCCAAAAGGTATTTTAGTATTCTTCATCTTACAATGAAAATAATGATATGATATGACTCGTATATGACTCATTATACAAAGTGACATATGCCAAGCCTTTGTTTGTTATTATGTATATGTTCATGGTTTTTTTTGAAAGGTATTTGAGATTTTTTCAGTGTTTTAGCCAATTATCAACATAAGACTTGGTGTATCTAGCTTTGCGTGTGATGAGTCTATTATATGGCTCCTGTGGACTCACCACCTGCAGGAGGATCAGTGAGGGGCTGGTGCTATGTGTACTGGGTGCAGCTCTGATTGCACCCCCCCGACCCAGAAATGGATTAAGGGGAAGAAGATGGATAAATGAATGGATGTTCGATCTAGTATTATCTAGTAGTTTCATATGGTAAGGTGAATCGCAGGAGTATTTATTTTTATAACATTTTGTGAAGATGTAAAAAAAATATAAGCGCTTGTATTTTGCAAGACAGTTTGAATGATACATTTCTCGAGCTTCAGCTGTACTTAGACAAGAGAGGTACTCTGGCTTTAAGGCTATATGTGTCTAAAGTTCACAGTGAGCTCACCTTTTCCTTTTAAAACTCAAAATGCATTATTTTCTTTCCCTAAAGCTTCTTACAGTAATAATCACTCGAGCAACGCTGCTGCTGTTGAGAGATAAACAGCAGCGATGTTGGGTGCTGATAAGGTTTCCAAACATAGATGCAGCACAACAACTGGTGGAGCTAATCTCATTAAACCTGCCATAATTATGTATAGATGATGAGCTGTGGATGAAGCTTGTTTTCCTATGAAGGCACGCTGTTTATCCGTTGATCCAGGAGCAGCATGTGCACTCCACTAGGCCTAAAAAAAGTGACCCTCCCCGGGGCACAGCGGCTCCATCAGGCATCAGTCAGCAGGACGCCCCAACCACAGCTGCTCCCCTGCTCTCTCCCCCTCCTGGCTTTTCATGTAGAGGGCATACAACGGGGAGGAGTGGCTGGGAAGGACGGCCCCTGCATCAAAAATGACAACAAAAGGACAAAAGTGTAGATGGGCAAATATTATTATGCCTCAAAAATAGCTCGCGAATACATTTTATCCTCTTTCCATGTCTCCACCAAACCAATTTACCAGCCACATCGCATACTGAGTTGTTTCGGCAGTGCAGGTTGTGGTAGCAATTGATTTGTAACTATTGATTTGTTTGTTTATTATGGCGCCGCTGTATACTTCCTCTCCATCCCCCATTGTGTCTTGCTTCTCTTTTTTTCTCCTACTGAACAAACCCCCCGAGACTTGGCTGGTCTGTTGAGGTATCACACCACACATTGCCTCCAGTGTTGTATTCCTGTCATTCCCCAACACCCTTCTCCTTATGGGATACTGCGGCAAGCGGAATAAAATGTCCTTTTTTCCCTTCCAGATACATTAAGTATGGAGTGTGTGGCCTGTCATATGATACAAGAAGAATCTAAAGCCTTATCTTGTGATGTAAAATATGTACGAGGTGAAGTGAACGGATGAAAGCTGTGTGAAAAGAAAATGCGTGAAGCAGATCTGTGTGAAGATGGAGGCTTTTCCTTTACTATAAGTACTATACTATAACCCCCTTTTATTTTATCGCCTCGCAGTACAGTCCGCGAGCCCCTCTCCTGCACGGCGATCCACACTCCCCTCCATCCTGCCCACACATGGGGCTTTTATCACTGCATTTGCATTTCCCTTCTTTTATGTCCTCCTCTCCTATAATTGGTTTGCCATGTTCAGGCGTCGTTAGCAGTGTTGTGTGTTAGCAGGGACAGTCCGAGCAGCAGGGCGACTGAGCGGGTAGTGCTAGAAGAGTTTTGTGAGTTTGATTCTAGTGCGGGCTCGTTCTGTGTGGAGTTTGCGTGTATATCTCCTCAAGTCTGGGCGAGTTTCCCACATCACCTCACATGCACCTTTTTAGGTATAATTGGAATATTGGAAAATGTCACATCACGTTTTATTACTTTCGTATGACGTAATGATTAACACCTGAAAGTGGCACCTTTTGCACATCTTCATTCATTTAAAAAAAAAAGAGTATTTTATGTTGTTAATGTATTAAGGCAAGGCACAATTCATACACAAGGCAACTCGAAGTGCCCGTAACCCTATTAATTATATAGTTTTTGAATCATTTGCAGTTTTGCAAAATATAATCTGTATGTCATACATAAATAGATAATATTTGTATTTTCTATTTATCGTACCTTAATAGAGTAATATGTGTGTGATAGTGGTGTAATAGCATTTCTTTCAGTTCTATGATCTTCATAATGATCACATTACTTTTGGTCCTTCTACTTTTTGCAGTATATGCAGCACTACAAGTACGTTGCTTATCTTTTATAGGATGTTAATACAATTTGTAGAATTGAGAACAGCACAGACTATTTAATATATTTTTCCATCCATCCATGGATGAAAGGGTGATTTAAAAAAAAAAAAAATATAATCAATGTTGGGCCTTTTCTATCCCATACACTTTCATTGGACGACTCAACTACAGAACCCTGTTTTATAATTTAATACATTGGATTCATTGCCCAGTCCGAGGTAAGATCCTCCTGTGACGGTAGTTATGACCATGCCAAGCTTCAACATCTGGACACTTAGTGACATTTGGTTCCACCTCCAGACAGGGCCTTTCTCTGTAGGAATTGCATATTCTCCCGGTGTCTGTAGGTTTCTTCCAGATGCTCTAGTTTTCTTTTACTACTAAAAACATTTACAATAATTCAGGATGAATGAGTTAGTGTCTGTGTGTATGTATTTGTGAGTGTGGTAGATGGAAATGACCTACAATTCCGATCAGTTAATACACCCCAATCCAAATAAATACGAATAGAAGGATGGGTAGTTTTCCCCCATAGGGACAATAAAGTGCACACAGACTGAAGAATGAAGTTCTATTTGTCATTGCGTACAAAATATTTTCCCATGCAGTCATATTTTGCCAAGCAAGTTCACATTCTTAGCCACACTTTTGAGGCCCTCTGTGACGAAAGCATCTCTCCACGGAGCTGACCCTGTCAAAGGAAGGGCCCTGGATGTCCTGCATGCTTGGCGATTCCATGGGAGCTTTAACTTGGAGCTTGTGCTAAGAATGCCAAACCCATTTCTCCTCAGACCCATCATGCCACGTCAGCTCTCACATGCAGTCGCACCACCATACTGTATATGCGTCTCTAAAGAGGTTCTCCCCTCATACGTGATGTAATGGAAGTTGTCTGCTCAAGGTACTGTCATGATTAATGCATTTTTATTTTCTGTCGCCCGGATCTGTGCGAGCTGTAACCGCAGCCATTCGCGGAGCCTTATGTAAGTGCCAGAGATGGTGGTTCAGGTACAGCTTCTACAGGCTAGTGCCCTGGGGCTGCTGCCATCTTGCCTTGGTTCCGCTTACAGAGACATGACAAATTACGGCTCACACACCATTGGCCAAGAACTTCCCCAGAAAGAGATGTCAAGGTGTACATGGGAGAAGGGGACTGGGAGAACCGCCGGGCTTTGGAGTAATAGAGTTGAGACTACAGCTGTGTAGCAAGGTCAAAAGCAGAAGAATGGGAGCACACAAGGTTATTAGCAGGAATCCAAGGGTATTGCATTTAGATGGGACAGAAAAGGTCTGCGGGTTTGCAGCAAAGGTAGACGTGTGACTTTTAGATAGTGATCATTTCTTATCTGCCCTTTCAAAAGCCCCGTCTGGGGATTCAAGCATATAGGAATTAGATTTTATTAGAATTTTGTGGAGCTTTATCTGTAAAATGACTGAAATTGGTTAAAACCCCTTTGGCTCAACCATGATAAAGTCCAGTTTGGGAACTGCTACATGCTACATGCAATGAATTCAGTTTTGAGTTGATGGGCCAAATTGATTCATAAATCAAGATTTTTTTATTATCTGGTAAAACTTTAGCTCTGCCAATATACATGTTTTAGCTCTTTTAAGCTGCTATAGCATTTTTGTGTCTTTGTCTTTTTTGTGATTTGTGTGATTTATTATTTATTAAAGTAACGAAAACCATTCATGAGAATCGAGTATTAAGCTGTAGCAGAAGACGTTAGCAAACCGCAGAGGTCTAAGTTCGTCTGCCAGAATAAAACATAACACCACATTTTAACATCCAGAAAGG